CATCCTTCTAATCTGGGCTCTTGGCATCAGGAAGCCTTTCCTGCCCAGCTCAGCTGGGCTACCTTGGACCTCATGTCCACTGCTTTCATCCTTCCAGGCTCTGGCCATTAGACTTCTCTCCGCCTGGTGTGTCACCCCCCTCCACCTGGTCCCAGCACCTAGCATAGGTCTAGTAAGGCTGGTCTGAAGAAATGCACAGAGGAAAAACATGAACTGAGCAGAGCACTCAGCCAGAACACTAGCCAGCAGACACTTTTAGCACCTTGGAGAGCTCCCGCAAAGCCTCAAGGCAGCCCTGCGCTGCTGCCCTGAGAACGGGGTTCCAGACTCTGCGTCCAGCACTGGGTCTGATGCCCACAGGTTCTCTTTCAGATACAGTGCTTTCCTCTTCCCCAGACACTTCCAAGGCCGGGAGGAGTTGGCGGTGGTCCCTCACTTTGTAGGGAGGCCCTAGTTTGCTAAACAGCTGGGGGGGGGGGGCTGGTAAGAAGTTTCTTCTAAACGCATGCGTGAATTACCCCTCTGGTAGTTTTCATGTTTCATCTTTGTGACCCCTGCAGCCAATCTATGAAGTAGGTGCTACCGTTACCTAGGGTTAGGTGGGCAACTGAGACCCGAGCTCCTTCACCCCTCCAGGGAGTCGGGCCCACCCACGGGTCCTTACTTAGGGAAACAAAATGGTCCACTATATCTGTCCTTTTCCAGGCTGAGGACCCCCAACTCTATAATTTGTGCAGCCTTTGCAGGGCCTTAGCTTCCAGCCCTCTCCATCCTGGCTGCCTGTCTGGTGCTTGCCCTCTGGTGGTGCAGGCCTAGAGGGACACCTATACTTTGCTGAAAGTCTGAAATGAGTTTCTCTTTTAATTTCACTGGCTTCTCACAATAATTATCTTAGAAGGCAAAGTGGCTCTCTGGCAGTTAAATTCTAGGGCTGATTCTCACAGGCCAGAGCTGGTGCCATAACATTCGCTCTAAGCAGCTTGAGACAGAGCAGCAATTTCCAAACTTTCTGGATCAGACAAATCTCCTTGGGCATCTGGTAAAATTCAGATGCATGGACACCCCCCCCCACACACACCCCCAAGAATCTGGTTCAGCAGGTGCCCAGAAATCTGTATTCCTAACCCAGGATCCCAGGTGATTTTTATAATTGATTGGGGGGTTGAGGGCAGGCAAAGCAGATAGCCCATGCAAAGGCCCTGGGGCATGAGAGAAAGTAGTAAGATCAAAGCATCCCGCTAATGTCTTCCACAGCACTTAGAATAAGATCTGCATGCCTTTTGCCATGATTTGTAGCTCTACAGCCCCCTGTTGCCTCTCTACCCCAAGGCCTCGCCACTCTCCCCTGACTCACTAGCCTAGTCACTCTGTTGTCTGTCAGTCTGAGAGATAGGCCTGCATGTTCTCTGTCCTTCTGCTTGAAATGCACTCCATCTAATCTTGCCATGGCTGATTCCTGCCCCCCCTGCCCATCTCAGTTTAAATGTCATCTCTGTACAGAGGCCATCCTGGCCACCCCTGTAGTGGGTGGTTCCAATTCTTCTCTAGAATTATGCCCCCTTTTTTGAAGCATCAAGAATTATGGAAAATTATGTTCTTAATATGTGTTCTTTAAGGCCGCGGGCTTTGTTTTGTTCATGGCTAGATCCTTAGTAGCCAAATCAGCTCCCAGCACATTGTAGCAGCAGGCACGGAGGTATTCGTGAATTAAGAGGCTGTCTGTAGAAGAAGTGGGAAAGGGGCAGGTCGCAGTGGGACCTGGGGAGCAGCAGCTAGAGCATGGATGGCCAGATTGGTCCTGCCAATCCCTACCCACCTCTCCCCAGGAAGATGAGCTCAAGCGCCCCATGGTGGCCCTGGCCAGATACTACCTGCTTGGTCATTTAGCTGGTTATAGCTCAGGTCAAGGGAGTTCAGGCCCGTGTGGGCCAGCAGGAGTTCAGCAAGGTACTGGGCTGCCTGCTCCTCCAGGCTGTTCCCTGCCAGCTGGACATTCCGTATGGCCGGGTTTGCCATGAGGGCGGCACAGACGACCTGGGCTCCCACCGCTCCCAGCTGGTTCTCTGACAGGTCCACATCTGGGGGTCAGCACCAGACCTAAGTCAGTGGAATTCAAAGCCAGGCACCATCCTCCTCCACCCTTCTTCACCTCCGAAACCTCCAGGCCGGAGGCAGCAGAAGGGGCTTTGTAGCCGAACCATCCTGGGGCACATGGTAATTCTGACACCCATCAGCTGGGTATCCTCAGGCCCCAGGCAGCTCCCCTGTTGCCCATCCCCACCCCACATGTGCAGTAACTTTTGTGCCAAGGGGCTAAAACCACCTACTTCCTGTTGCTATGGAGAATGCTCATGGTGGAAATGCAGCTGCCCTGTAGATCGTTGGTGACTGGCAGCAATACAGTCCACCCACAGAAGCCCTCACTGCCACACTTCTGGGATTGGCAATAGCAGTCTAGGTGGCCATGCTCAGGGCACTTCTGCGGGCCCCACGCAGTTTCACCAATGCTCATGCAGCATATCCTCAAGGACTGAGTGGTATTGTTGGGCCATTTCCCAGACTGGCAGCTGAGGCCTAGAAAAGTTTGGCTCCTTGCCCAGGGTTACCCCACTCTTTGGTGGTAGAGGTGGCATTTGGATAGAGCCCCACTGAATACCCACCCAGCCCCCGCTCCTCTCGCTCTGCCCAGCCCCCACCTGTGTGTCAAAGGACCCTCCAACTTGCATTCAGTCGTTGGGAGGCCACCATGTGAAGAGTGGTCTGGCCAGGGGAGGAGGTGAGTGGGTGGGGTGGGCTGGTCAGGATAGGAGTGGCGTCCAGCGTCGGGTGCACCACAGAGGGCCTAACTCCACCCTTGGGATGAGGCCCCGACCCAGCAACCCCAGCCGGCTCCAGGTGAGAGAAGGTCTGGCTGTGTATGAGGGGCACACCCCTTAAGAAAGGGAGGACCCAGGTCTGCCCATCTGCCCGAGGCTCAGCACCTACCGCGGATGCTGCTGCTTTTTCTCAGGGCGCGTGCCAGGGCCACCGCACCGGCCGCACAGAGCCCATTGTCTCGGAGGTCCAGACGCTTGACATAGGGATTGGAGGTTAGAGCAGAAGCCAGAGCCCGGGCCCCCTGGAACAGAGAGGGACCTGAAAGGCCTGGTCCTTCCCAGGGCCAAAGGCCCCAGGCACAGATAGCGACTACTCTGGCTCGTGTTTCCAGAGCTCAGCCCTCGTGGTGAGTTCCAGGTGGAAGGCCCACCTTTCCCCATGGAACCAGGAGTCACCTGCTTCTCACTCTAGGCTCCTCCCAGCTCTCACCTCCTGGAGCAGGTTAGGTGCCTCCCTGCAGGCTCCCCAGCCCTATACTGAGCTCTGTCATAGCCAAGATCCCACCTGTCACCCAGATGTGGGAGTGGGATAAGCCTGGCACAGAGCAAGGTCATGGAGTGTGTGGAGTGGACTCAGGAAGAAGGCCACACCCATGGCTGCATCCTCCCAAGTTTTCCCCCCTCAAGCCCAGCCCCCAGGGTACCTGGGGCCCCAGACCACGGTACCGCAAGTTCAGCTCTGGGGCTCTCCCTTGGCGCAGAAAGCAGGAGACAGGCACAGCGCTGTAGGCCTGGCATGACCTCAGGTAGAGCGTGTCTGTGACCAGTTCTCCAAGACCATGGATGCCTGATAGAAGACAGCGAGAAGAATGTGGATTTCTATTCAGGCACAGCCAGCCACCTTCCAAGGGCTGCCCCACCTTCTCTCACTACCCAGTATTTTAACATCACTAATGGTGGGACTTCTGATGCTCCCAGGAGCATTGCAGAGAGGGCACCGATGCGCTGAAGGTGTCCCATGGAGGGGACAGAGGCCTCTGTCCACTCAGCCCCAGCCTGTTCCCTCCACCACTCCCAGAGGGCCGGCCTGGCAACCCCTGCCCAGGGGCACCTTCTGTCTCCAGGTCGGAGTCTGAATCTGTGTTCGAACCGTCCTGGGCTTCCAGGACCTCTGTAAGACTCCCAGCGGCAGCCTCCACCTCCTCTTTCCCCTGCTCTTCATTCTCCCCTGACTTCCCGCAGTGACCGGTCATAGTTAAGCTCATTCTGCAGTTGCGGGCACCAAGGCTGGGACTGCGCTCCACTGCCTCCGGAGCCCAGCTACGGAATTTGGGCGGACCCTCCGGCTTCAGCCACCAATCGCAAGTGGTGTGCAGTAAACAGGCGCCTGCTGTTGCAAATAGAGACGACGCAGTCACCCCGACAACTTGATGTTGATGGTTGCCGCAGAAACCTCCGCGGGTCTGACCCACCTTGAGTGGGATCCTAGTTAGACAGAAAAGAACGAGAGCCCCGGCAGGCGCAATGCCGGGCGCTTTACGGGCGCTTGTTCTCCCTGCATCTCATACCTTCCCAGGAACTGGGGACGAAGCCCATCTCTGGGCTTTTACTCCCTGCACTCGGGCGGTATTGGCAGCCAGCTGTGTGAGGCCATCACACGGGAGGGCTTGGGGCACCTCGTGGAGCCTAGCCACCCTCCTCTCTGGGGCCAGAGTCACGCTCTCTGCGGGTCTCAGTTCTCACTCATACTCTAGCGTCTGTATGCAGCTTCCTCCACCAGGAACATGCATTCCTCCCCAACTTGGTTGAACTTCTGAATCTTCAAGTGTGAGTTCAGACCTCACTTCTTTCTGAAGATTTCCTTGGCCCTTCCTGTGGACTCCTGCAGCCCCAAGACTGTCCTCTTACGGCACCTATAACCCTTATCATCCCCTCGTCACCCAAGGAAGTGAGGCCAGAGGGCAGCGGACAGGGGCTGCTGCTCTCTGTGGGCCCGGGGTCCCCCAGAGAAAGACTGGAGAGGGTGAAAGGTCCAGGCAGCTGGGGGATAGGACTGAGCCCAGGGCTGGGGGTGGGGGAGGGGGGGTGGAGGCTGGATTCTGGCCCAAGTAGATTCTGTCCCTTTAATAGCTGCTGGCCTGGTCCTCCTCGGGCTCCTGCTTTATATCCTGTTCAGCTGTGACTGCAGCTGCTGTGCTGACTCATGTGCCCCAGCAGCCAGCAGGAGCTGGGAGCATGGGCTCCCTAGGGGCCTTGGCCGCCTGGGGGCTTCTGGATTACAAGACTGAGAAGTATGTGATGACCAGGAACTGGCGGGTGGGCGTCCTGCAGAGGCTGCTGCAGCTTGGGGTCGTGGTCTACGTGGTCGGGTAAGAGAACGGCCGTGAGTGGCCCTGCTGGGCTGAGGGTTGAGGGTTTGACTCTTCAGGGGCCAGGCTGGTGGTGGTGGAGGCAGGACAGGTTGCGACAGGGTAGTGGGTAGGGGGAAGGAAGGCTCTCTGTCTGTGTAGGGGCCTGTGGGCACAAGAGCACGTGTGTGTCTGTGTCTTCCTCTGTGCCCACTGCCCCTTCCCCTTGGCCTTGCCCCTAGCCCCTTGTTGGGTGCTCTGGGCACAGAGCAGGAAGGGCTCCACCCCTGCCCTGGGCAGTGCCGGATGCAGCCTCTGACACCTGTGAGAGCTGGAACCCAGGGCCCCAGAGAGAGACCACGAGTTCTGGCTGGGTCAGGGGAGTCATTCAGGAAGAAGCTGGGTCTGGCTGGGGCAGAGGGAGGGTGTTGGCTGGTGGAGGAGGTGCTAGTGGGCATCTCCAAGTCCGTGGCTGCCTAATAGGAGACACCCATGTGGGCACTGGCTCTCCAATGATGGCCTGTGCTTGTGGCCTGTTCAGGGTGTTTGGGGTTAGGGGGTTAGGGGACATGAGGGTAGAGAGGAGGCAGGGGACCTGAGTGGTGAACTGGTAGCCTATAGTGAGTGAGGGAGAGAGACTGAGCAATAGGGCCTAGCTCTGCCACTGCTCACAGTGTGCCAGGGACACACCGTACTGCCCATCGCCTCCTCTCCAGGTGGGCCCTCGTCACCAACAAAGGCTACCAGGTACAGGACGTGGACCCCCAGATTTCTGTTATCACCAAACTCAAAGGGGTTTCTGTGACCCAGATCAAGGAACTGGGGAATCGGCTGTGGGACGCGGCTGACTTCATGAAGCCAGCACAGGTGGGTGTCTCGGGGCTGCTGCCAGGCGCTGACGCCTGTGATGCCACGTTGCAGCAAGTGTGTGCAAGAGAGGCACGTGGTGCCGGAGGCGGGTGCTGGCACCGTCACAGGGCTGGGCTTGGGGAGAGCCTCCCAGAAGAATGGCACCTGGACAGGGATATCGGGATGTGTAAGAAGCGTCCGGGTGAGTGAGAGGAGGGGTCAGGAGGCCAGGCCAGGAGAACTGCATTTACAAAGGTTGCATCTGAAAAAGAATGGAATGTCTAGAAACTTGACATTGAGCTTGAGCTTGAGAGTCAGGTGGGAGGAGATTGGGGGTGGCTAGGGCCCGGAACTTCCTGCATGCTCACGTCCCTGACCCCGGGAGCTGCCGTGAGGCCCTCCTCCTCCGCCCTCCCACACTACACTTCTGGCCGCTCCTCCTTCTACCCAGATTGTCCACAGCCTGTTTCTCCTCTGTCCTGCTGGTGCCCAAATTGTGAACCTGGTGAGCACTGGCCCTGAGCGCACCCACCATGTCCAAAGAGAAATCTCCTCCCTTTTCCAATGTGACCTGAGTTCACCCATCAGCGCCAGAGCTGAACTCAGGTGGACATCTTCCTGTCCCTCCCCCGTCCTGTCCTTCTCCTAACAGTTTCCACTACAGCACGTGCCCTGCCTGGCTGAGGCTGCGGTCTTCTAGTGAGTCCCCAGGTGCACCCATGCTGAGCCTTCACATGTGACATCATGTGTGCACCCAAGTGCAGCAGCCTTCACATGTGACATCATCCGACCTTCCAGCCCTTGCTTTCACCCTCGGAAAGCTCCCTGTCCATGATGGTGGCCGCCAAGTCCCTCCAGATCTTGGCCACTGCCATACCCCTCTGCCCTCTGCCCTCTACTCAGCCCTTGCCTCCCCTTCCTGGGTGTACATTCCCCCAAATTTCTCACACTCAGCACACAGGTGCCAGCCACCCTTCCTGTTCCTGGCCCCCCTTTGCCCAGGCAGAACTCACTACCTGCTCCCCTGGCTCTCGGCCATGCATACATGGAGAAGTCCACCTTCCTACCAGCCTGGGCGGGTGCTCGGCCTAACTCAGTGCTGGATCTTTAGTGCCTAGAAACGAGGGGCTCTTAGAAAATTCTGAGTGAGCGAAAGTGGATATGAGAAATAAACTTGTCTCAGAGAGGCAGACATGGGCTCAGAAATGGCCAGAAACACGGCCAGCCTCCCATCACCTCTCCTTGGATTTGCCCCATGGAGGCATTGTCCTGGGCTCCTTCCCTCCCACACCTTCCTCTCCCGTGCAGGTAGCCTTGCAGATACAAACCCCGACGCTTGTCTTCTAGGGAGAAAATGTGTTCTTCTTGGTGACCAACTTCCTTGTGACACCACAACAAGTTCAGGGCAAGTGCCCAGAGGTAAGGGTGCCCAGGAGCCTTGCAGCCTTGGGTCACCAGCCGTGTCCTCCCTTCTCCTTCCCAGGGTGACTGATGTGCTTCCCAGGCTCTGTATGTGCTATTGTGTCCCAGGCACTGGGACAGAGCCTTTATGTGAATCATTCATTTAGTCTTCACGAGCACCCTGGCTGGTGGGCATTGCTGCAATTCCCAGTTAAGATGAGAAGGCTGAGGCTCAGTGAGTTGAGTCACTTACCCAAGGCCTCCCAGCCCATGGGTGACAGGACTCTGGACATCTGAGAGGGAGACTTCCAGAGCCTTCCACTGTCATTCCCTGTGGGGTATCCAGACCCCTCCCAACCTGGTTCTGCCCCTGGGCACTCTCCAGACTGTCAGTGTGACAGTGTGGCACCCAGACCTGGGCACAATGCTTAGGGCTCTCTAGTAGCAAGAGCCAGGCTGGAGATCACCTCCCCTTCTCCATGCCCAGCCTCTACTGATGTGTCCCCAGGCAGGTTTCATTTTGGTTGGCACACGTGGAACACCCCTGCGTATGAGTTCAGGTGACTGTGGGCAAGCGAGAGTTCCCACCTTCTGTTCATTTCTCAACAGAAATGCAGATTCTCCCCCTGAAATCTCACCTTTCCCCCTCGCCTGGACCCGTGACCGAGCAAGAGCTCGCAGCCCAATGTGCATACGCAGAAGTCCACACGGTGGTGCCAAAACTGTCACCTTACCGAGCAAGGGCTCACAGTGCACACTGGGGCCAGTTCTATGGCACCAGCTCTTGGGAAAATAAAGAGTTTTTATTTGTGAGTTTGGCCAGCAAGGAGATAGGCAAGGCTCAGATTTGCCTTAGTCCAGGGTTGGCATGGAGGGGGATTATAAGGGGTCTCAGCTCCGGTTCTCCCTGGACAGCAGACCTTTTTGCTCCTGAAAGTCCCCGTGTGTTCAGGTTCTGGTCCTGTCCTGGTCCTTTGGTCCCATGGTGGTGGTGGGGGCAGTCGAAGGCTCACAAGGGTTAGTCGTGCCTGGCGTTCCAAGGTTTAAGTTCTGGCTCTGGGTCTTGTTAGAAGCAGGGCCAGCTTTAGTCCGTCCTGCAGTTACAGGCACGCCCCCGGGATCCGAGTGTGTCACGGAGCACACTCGCTCTCCTCCCCAGCTGTGGCTTTTCCCCCCAATTTTTTATTGTAATAAAATACAAGAAATGTAAGATTTATCATCTTAACCATTTTTAGAACAGTGGAGACCAGGACATAACCCTGGAACCTACCTCCCTGGTGACACCTTTCTTTTAGTTGCTTGCTGGGCTGGATTAAATGCGGGGCTGTGTGGTCACTTGTCCTCTGGACCCAGGTGGTTGGTCCCGCCACAGTTGCGGAGGGTGCCACCTGTCCCTGACTGGCTCTGTTCTCAAAGGAGGAGAGTCACGTGCACGAAGCTTGCACTTGTCCTTCCCCCTCTAATGCTCAGAAGACGTCTGTTTCACATTCAGTTGGTCGGCAGTTCTGACTTTTGCTGGGGCCATGGGTCTGTGTTTTCTGATTCCAAGTGATTCTTCATTGCCCATGTCCTGACTTTTGGCCCTTCTCAAGAAATTGCTGGGGCTGGGAAATAATTCATTTAATCTGAAAACTCAGCTGCCTGAGACCAGCCAGAGTTCCTACCAGCTCCTCTCAGGGACCCTGGTAGTCCGGTCCCTCCCAGCACACGCCCTCTGTTCCTGCAGCAAACATCTGCTGAGCTTCCCCCGGGCCAGTGCTGGTCTTGCAAAACCCTGTCCCTATACTTTAAGAAACCCCTGCCCAGGCAGCCCAGCCAAAGGGATGGTCCCGAGATGGGGGCAGAAGCCGCAGCTGGGAGACCCGGGGAGGTGCTTCTGCCAGCCTGGGGCCTCAGAGAAGGTTTCCCGCAGGACTAGAGGCTCAAGTAGGATTTTAAATGTGTACAGGCAGAGGGAGCTGTGTGGGCAAGGGGCCTGAGCTATGGGAGGTGGGGCAGCTCCAGAGTCAGTTACTGCCGAGTGGGTCTGGAGCCTAGATGTGGACTGGGGTGGGAAGGTGGTGACCCAAGATCTCAGGGGCCCTGTGAATCCCACTAAGGAGCTAAATTTGGTCACAGGAGCAGCAGGCAGCCACGGACGGGCTCAGGGGAAGGGTACTCGATCTCCTGTACCTGGGCAACCAGTTGCTGCTGGAGGCAGATGAGGGCAGAGGCAGGGCCCTGTGGTGGTCACAGGGGGGTCCAGTTGGGGGATGTGGTGGTCCAGGCAGTGTGGAGAAGAGGGGCAGACTCAGGACTCAGGTAGAGACAACTGGACAGAATGGTTGTGTCTCTTGGTGGTGCCACACTGTCTCTAGCCCACTTATCACAGTCCTACCATCCACAAGGTCCCATGGTCTCATTTGGCTTTTCAGAGTCCCCAAGCCCTTCCCTGTTGCTCCTGCTGCCCTGAGCTGGGCTCCCTGGACAGTGGTGTCTGTCCTCCACCCCAGATGGAGCCATGTCTGTGCAAGTGCCTAATGCTCAGGGGTACCTTCCTCTCTGGGGTCTGGGACCCCAAGAAAGCTCACCACCACCACTTTCCCCCCTGGCTAATAATCCCCAGAACTCTGTGCACTCATTAATGTCCCTGTTTTGCTGAAGAACAAGCAGGGAAGGGCCTAGCCTTTGGTGTCCTACTTCCCTACCCAAGCCCCTTGGACTGGGGTCCCATCCTCGTCTACCACATCCAGGGCCTCTAGCATGAACTTACCCTTCCCAGGGTCCCTCCACCTTCCCTATTGTGTGGGCCGAATGAGGATAAGCCCTGACCAATTAGTATGTGGCTCCGTTGCTTGGTCATCATTCTGCAAAGCAAAAGGTTGCTGGTTTGATTCTTGGTCCGGGCACATGCCTGGGTTGTGGGTTCGGTCCCCGAGTTTGGGTTAGGGAGCACATGAGAGGCAGCTGATGGATGTTCCTTGCTCACATGGATGTTTCTCTCTACTTCCCTTCCCCTCTCTCTAAAAATAAATAAATGAAATCTTAAAAATAAAAATGAATTCGGATCAGAGGAGCTGGGCCTGGGTTGATCATTCTGCCCCACCAGGGAGAGAACCTCCAGGAGGCAAAGTCTTGCCCTGCCCTGGAGCACGGCCCCTGCGCCCCATCAGGTGGGGGGTTGCCCACGCTCCCCGCTCTGACTGCCTCCGCTTCTTTTCACCTTCCAGCTTTTCCATGTGCCCCCAAACTCAGGGAACCCTGGGGAGCTAAGGTGGGAGGGACATGTCCCTGTGGATGGCAGGGCTGGTCACCCACTGGGCCATCGACAACTGTGCTCCCACCCATCTCAGCACCCATCCATCCCACTGGCCAGCTGCTGGGCCCATGAAGACTGTCCTGAAGGGGAGACGGGGACACACAGCCATGGTAACAGTGGGCCCTGCCTTCCAGTGCCTCGACTGGAAGTGAGGTTCGGGGGGCAGGCCGCGACCCTGGGTGGCTCCTGAACGTGGGCGTGGTGGTGCCTCTGCGTCTCTCCTTTTTGTCAATAGCCCCTTGTTCACCCAGCCCCACTTCAGGCCCAGAGATTGTCTTGTGTTTTCAAGGCATTAAAACAGGCCAGTGTGTGGTGTTCAACGAGACCCACAGGACCTGTGAGATCCAGGGCTGGTGCCCAGTGGAGAGTGGCACTGTGCCCACGTAAGTCTCCCCCAACTCCCAAGGCAGGGCCTGGACGGACAGAGCCTGCCCCTCACTCCCTCCCCCCCACCCCGCCCACAGGCAGCCCCTGCTGGTCCAGGCAGAGAACTTCACGCTGTTCATCAAAAACACTGTCACTTTCAGCAAGTTCAACTTCTCCAAGTAAGCGTGGGTGGGTCTTCACAGGCCCCAGGCCCTCCTTATCGCCATCCTGTCCTGACCTTTCCTCCCCCGGCCCCTCTCAGGTCCAATGCCTTGGAGACCTTGGACAATACCTACTTCAAACGCTGCCGATACGATCCCCTCTCCAGCCCCTACTGCCCAGTGTTCCGCATTGGGGACCTCGTGGCTGCAGCTGGAGGGGACTTTGAGGACCTGGCATTGCTGGTGGGTATGTGGAGGACAGGGTTCCGGGAAGACTGAGGGGGAGGGTCTGAGCCCAGGTGCCAGCAGAGCGGTGGTGTGCTGTGTGCAGGGCGGTGCTGTAGGCATCCGTGTCCTCTGGGACTGCGACCTGGACATCAGGGGCTCTGACTGCCGACCTGACTACTCCTTCCAGCTGCAGGAGAGGAGCTACAACTTCAGGTGCCACCCCCATAGCCCCAGTGTTCGCATGCTGCTCCTCGGCCAGGTCCACCTCCACCTGTCCTCCTGTGGAGGCCAGGACAGACCCCAACCCAGCCCCCTGGATGCTCTGCTCTGTGTAAGAGGGGGTCCCAGGAGCAGAAGGGGGCATTCTCAGCTCCAAGTCCCCCAGCACAGGTTCTGCCCGGCCTCTTTCTGAGCTCTCCCCCCTTCACCCCAGATGTCCCCACACCCTGTGTTATTGCTGGGACCTCTCACTTCCAGCCTCTCCTCCACCCTAGCATCTACCCTCCACAGCGGAGGGAGCTTTCTTTTTCACTGTTCCCTTAAGGTTTTATCTTAAAAATCTATAGGAAAGTTCAAAGATTAGTACCATGAACACCCCATATACTCTTTATCTGGGGTTTGGGGTTTTTTTTACCCTCTTGCCACCCTTGCTTCTCCCCCCTTCTCTAGAGTGAGCCAGATGTATTTAGATAGCTTTCAAGTGCAATCATTTCAAAGTAAGTGGCAGACATCCAGATACTCGCCCCCTCAACACCGTGCTGAGCCTGAGGACCTTCCCCATGGGACCACTACTGTCACATAAGAAATATAACACCGGCAGACCAAATCTCATATTCCAATTTCCCCAGCTGTGCTGATAATGCTCCTAAATTTTTATTTTCCAATCTAGGATGCACGCAGGGATCTTGCACAGCATTTACTGTCACGTCTTTGAGTCCGGCAGACCTCCCCTTCCCTGCCCAGAATCCTTCTGCCACCTCAGGCCACCTTCTCACTGTTGCCCACGTGCACAGGTGCACACAGCCACCAGGCCTGGCCTTGCTGCCTCCCCAGCCCTTGCTCACACCCTGCTCCCCTCCCCTCTGTGCTCTCACCGGCCCTACTTTCTCAGCCTCGAATCCTTCCGGAACCCTGTGGCACTGGCCTGAAAGTCTCCCCTGCGGGGAGCCTGCCCCAGTTTCTGCAGGAGTGTGAGCTCCCCACTCTGGACCCTCCCACCCCCCACTGTTGGTGTCTGTTCAGAGACTCTTCTGTCCCTGTCCCCTCAGGAAGCAGGAGGCTTCCTAGAGGCAGGTCCTGGCTTGCTTTTCCTGTGCGCCCTCAGCAACAACATGGAGCTGAGCCCAGGATCTGGGTTGGGGCTCAGGGTTGATGGAGTCAATGGATGAGCAGAGGGAGGCCAGGGAGTGTGCAGAACAGGCCACCAGACTTGCTGTTGCCCACAGGACAGGCACTCACTGGTGGGAAGCCTCAGGCGTGGAGGCCCGGAGTCTGCTTAAGCTCTACGGGATTCGCTTCGACATCCTAGTTGCTGGGCGGGTAGGAGGGGCCCGGTGGGGTGGGCAGGGTGCTGGTGGGAGGAGGCGACAACCATGGACTGAGAGGCTCAGCCCAGGTACCTCTCAGGCAGGGAAGTTCGGGCTCATCCCCACGGCCATCACTTTGGGCACTGGAGCAGCTTGGCTGGGCGTGGTGAGCGTGGCCTATGTGGGCTCCCTCGGGCTGTAGACAGGGTGCGCCCCGCCCACCTGCATGCACATGAGCCCCCTCTGCCTGCTGTTGAGTCTCAGGGTGAGGGTTGGGGAGGAGGCAGGAGGGTAGGCTGGGGCCCGGACACGGGTCTGTCTATCCTGCCTCTCCCAGATCACCTTCTTCTGTGACCTGCTGCTGCTGTACGTGGATGGAGAAGCCAGTTTCTACTGGACGACCAAGTATGAGGAGGTGAGCTACAGGTCTGCTCCATCACCAGGTGCTGCTCCACTCGGAGGGTGTTGGCCAGAGCCCTGACCGAATGTCCTCATCTGCAGGCAGAGGCCCCGAAGGTGACCGCCAACCCTGAGCAGACAGACCTAGCCTCTGCACCCCCGAACCTGGCTGCCCAGGTGCCTTAGAGGGCGCCCAGCACCTGCCCCCATGGCTACTGCTGCTGCTGGGAGCCAGACACTGAGGCCAGGGTGGCCCTGCCCAGGCTCTGGCCCCCACTTGCTTGCCCGTTCTTGAGGCCTGTAACCATTCCCCGTGGCTGGGAAGGGTCAGACCCCACCTTGGAGACCTCAAGGATGAAGTCCCAGCAGAACCACCCTTAGGGGTTGGGGAGAATAATACCTTCAACTCCCAGGCCGACTGTCCTTCAGCCTTGGCTCCAGCCTTGGCAGAGCGCTGCCTGGGGAGGGACAGAAGCCAGTTTTCCACAGAGATCTGCAGCGGAACAGAAGCCACGAAGGAGGAGAGAACCCTGGGCCTATGTTTGGAGAGTTCTCTCCCTAACTCCACCCCCCATGCTCCTAGCAGTGGCCTGCTCACCAGCTGTCAGCACTGTCCCTCTCACTGACCGTAGCCAACCCCATCCCTGCCTGGCTTCCAGCCCTCCTCCCCAGGCCAGCCCCCACCTTGTAGAAAGAGCCCCCACCCCCTCAGCTGTGCTGCACTGGGGGCCACATGGCCGGAGTCCACAGCACGGTACAAGGAAGCCTGACAAGAGGCGCTGCCTCAGCTGCTCTGGTGCTGGGTTGCAGGGGGCAAGTCCCCCTGGACTTGGGCCGCTCCCATAGGAAGGGAGCGGGGTGGGCAGACGATCCCACCAGGCACCCCGGGCAAGGGCACAGGCACCTCTTGGGCCCACACCTGCTCAGCTTATGGTCATCGGGGTCTTTGTGACCTTCTATATGCCTCCTTGGTGACTGTCCCAAGACCAGCCCCCTGGAACCTGCTTTCTGGACATCCTGGGAGCCATGGGGGTGGGCAGAATGTATATCTGAGACCCAGTCCTGTCCACTGCCACACCTAGAAACCTGTCTGGACAGCTGCAGGCAGGAGGCCTTATCTATGACCATAGATGAAGCCCATTGGCTGAAGGAGTGTCCCTACTAAGGACACGGCGCCCTCAGCAGGCTGGCCTGGTTTTGGCTCTGGAATCCTTTGGGGCTCTGTGTCCTGCCTGCTGGAGAATTTCCCCAGGTCTGAGAGATCCGTGGTCAGGAGGGGAGGGGTGGGGACTAAAGGAGTCAAACCCTCTCTTAGTCCCGGGGCAGGGATGTGGGAGCACTCATTCCAGAGAGGCGAGAGCTGCTTCCTCATGGGTCCTGGTGATCGGGGGCAAGCTGGCAACTTGCCAATGGAGCGATGTGGGTCATTTGGGTAAGGCTGGGGTGGGGCTCGGGCTGGGTGAGTATCTGGAATCATCTGGGGCCTGAGCAGAACTGTGGGCCCCTGCTGCCTCTCAGTCCCCAGAGAAGTGTGTATGAGGAGGCAGGTTCGGAGGGGCCAGGGAAGAACACGGCCATGAGGCCTGGTTGTTGGAGCAGGGTCTCATGCACCTGGTTCTCCTCAGGGCCCAGACAAAGCTGAAAACATGACTGCAGGAAGTCAAGGAGTAAAGCTTGCCAAAGCCAGCAGCCTCCTGTGTGGTCCTTACAGGCAGGAACGGGGAGCTGGACATGTCTACATTTGACGTAGCCCAGTGTGGGAGGGGCAGAGTGGGCCTGGGAACCCCCCAAGGACTGGAGTCTCATAGACACTGAGTGGGCTGGAAGGTACCTGGAGCAGGCCCAGGTGCTTGAGCACCCATACATAAGCATGTACACCATACACATGCCATCCTGAGCCCTTACCACAAAGCCCTTGAAGGGGCAGAGGGAGAGAGAGTGAGAATATGAGTGCCAGCTGGGCCAGCTGGGTCTGAAATTAGAAACAGGTGTTGCCTCCATCTGCACGCATCTGTGCTCCCCAGGGCACCGGTGTGGACCATGTGGCCTCGTGCCTGAGAGCAGCCTGTGCCGATGCAGGCTGCAGGCACACACCACGTTGTCTGGGAGCCTGGGGGAATGAAGGCAACCTGGAACTCCACTGTCCTTTCCAGGCAGCTCTCTGGATGCACCCCTGAAGGATGTGCGGAGAGTCTGTGGGGAAGCCCTGATCCCACCTGTCACTGACCCCTCCTCATCTAGTGCTTTTTAGGGCGTGTGGCTCCCCTGAGGTCAGCAGAAGGCACTGGCCTGAGGGCAGGACCCCGGGACCTAGGCCTGGCTGTGTTCCTGACTCAGGGCTGTCCCAGGTGCCTCCCCGTTGTGGAACCTAGGTGCCTTTGCTGGGGATTGAAGACAATCACCTGGTTCCTAGAGGCAGGCGAGGAGGACTCAGTGCCACAAAGAATGTCACAGTGGACAAGATGGCAGATGGTTGCTCGAATAGTTGTTATTGTAGATCCTTGGGGTTATGGTCCTCTTACCCACACACCCCACCCCTGCTGCCCAGGTGGCTGGAGTTGGTCATAAAATGGAAAACGCTAAGCAAAATGTCCATCACAGCAGCCATGGCCATGGCCCACTTCCAAAGGCTGAAAGTGTGAAACCTGGGCTGAGCTCTAAGGTCCTGAGGACTGCTCCAAGGGAGCAGGCCTGCAAACATAAGCTGCCCCAGACAGAGGGGCCTCCTGAGGAGGTGGGAGAGGGTGGGCAGAACTCCAGCTGTCCTCATGGACTGGTGGGCTGCTCCATGAAGCAGGGCTCCAGGGCCAGTGCCTTTGGGACTGCATGACCTTCACTGTCTCCTCCAGGGTGCCGTGGGGGGACACTGTGCAGTGTGGGGCAGCTGGCTGCTATAGCCATTGCTGGTTCTTCATGCTGTGCCAGATACCAGAGCTGAAAACACCAGGGGTCCTGCAGGATTGCACAAGCCTGAGGGGCAGGTCCCAGCCCTTTACCCTCCTTGCCCTCCCTGCTCTCCTGCAGCCCACCCAGGGCCCCAGCCTGGCCCATACTCACCCATCAGCAGCCAGATGGACAAGGGCAGCCAGGTTGGGTAGCTCAGCTCTAGCACGAGGCAGGTGTTGAGGAGGATGCTCAGGGCTGCAGTCAAGGGCACCAGGAAGGTCTGCAGGCCTAGGACCTGATTTCCCAGGAATCCACAGAGCCTTTCTCCAGATTATGGAGACAGCTGCCCACTCCCCACACAGATAGGGGTATGCTGGCCTCCCCAGCCTTATGACACCCTGGTTCATCCTGCCACGGCAGAAGAGGAAGAGACAGAGAGAGCTGGCTCAGCTGACAGTGAGTGGGGGTTGGCCAGAGGACGTACCTGAAAGGTGTCCTGATGGTACAGTTGCTGGTGGCCCCCAGGGTGAGGAGACCAAGCACAAGCAATGTAGTGCTGAGTAGGAGCAACAGGATGTAGCCCCCACGTGGGAGGTGCACAGCTGAGTCCCCAAAGACCAGCACATAGCCCAGGTTGATGGCCGAGGCCACCATGACACCTAGTGCCCAAGCCATAGGGGCTACAAGGCTGCACCCACCTGAGAAGCTCAGGTAGGGCATTAGTGTTGGCCATAGCTGCCTAACTCAGGAGCTGAGGCCTGCTCAGTGCCCACCAGCCAGTGGCAGTTTTGGAAGGATTCATATTCCTTGGCCACGAGGCCAGAGCTGTCTGAGCCTGGGGAACTAAAAGGAGGGAACTTCTGGAAGCATAGCACGATCACAGTGGTGGCCACAAAACTATAGGCCAGCAGTGTGCCAGTGAACAGGAACTGGACCAGTGTTTCAAGGTCTAGCAGCAGCACTGTGAAAGCCATGAGGACCCCAAACACCAATATGCTTACCATAGGCACCTAATTCTGGGAGCACATGTTGGCAAACACATGGAAGAAGAGCCCATCAGTGGCCATTTCCTGTCAGCCTCTCTCTGCCCAAGGCTGACCCTGGTTCCTTGCACTCACTGTAAGGCTCCCTGGTAAGAGTCCCGTATCTGATTTTCCCAACACCAATCCCTGGAAGCCCCGGCTAGCTGCCTAACCCTCTAAGCCCCAGACCACACTCTCCGAAAGCTGCCAGAGCAAAGAATGAGCGGGCAGCAGAAGAGCTGGCCGACTGAATCCACAGAGTGGTGATGGTTGGTGGAGGGGGGGAGGATGTTGCTTAAACCAAGACCATTTGGGCGGCCGCTGTGAACGTGACTCCATGCCACCCTTGACCTAGCAATGGTAGGCAAGGTAAGAAATCTGCGTTTTGCATTTGTTAGAATTTACTTCAGCTATTGCTTATGTTATCTATATCTAACTCCTTTTCATTTCTCTATGAAAATTCTAGCTCATTCAGGTTATGCTTAGAAGAGAAAAGGGGCTAGTTCCTCTGTGGGGTAAACACAGACACACCTATGGACCAGCAACAGGCATGGAGGGAATTGGAGCCAGAGGTGAACTGAGGGCTCAGTCACCCTTCCAGGAACCTTGGGAATCCTGCATGTGCTTTCACCAAGGTGTGTGCATGTGTGGGTAATCCTTTGGTCTCCTGCAATGACTGTTTGTGGGGTCCCCTGCCCTATCTCCCCCTCCTGCCATGTGCTTCCCGCTAAATGGCCAGTTCAACTTGCATGTGCTGCTGACTGGCTTCCGCCCAGCCAAGCCAGGCCAGTACCCAGGCAAAACTTCCAGCTCTCTGACCTCCTTGTTTCCCCGACTGCTCCACATACACCATCCGTCCCTCTATGCTGAGATGTTCTAAGTCTTCATGAAGGTAGAATTAACATCTCCCTCCCTCCTAGAGCTTCTTAACCACTTCCTACTGGGAACTTATACCGTGGTCCACATCTCATACTCTTGCAAGAGCTCCATTGCATAGGTTGGTCCCCTGGCACATTCTCGACTTTAAAATTCCTACCAACCTAGGATACTAACATCAGCACCAGTAAAAGGATGCTAACTGAATAGACCTTACAGGTGTTTTCCTCTAGCTTAGGTCTGCAAAGGCCTATCACAGTTACCAGCCCTCCTAACTCCTAACATCCCTGAACAGCTCTGTAGTAAGACTATATTTTGTCCACAAACACGTGAAACTCAGGAGGTGTCAGCTGCTGTAGAGTGGCCTCCACTCATAAGCAAGGGCTCCTTCTTAGCCCTGCCGCCACCAATCACAGCTGCTCAGCCGGTGTCTGCGCACTTAGCTGCGGTGGAGTCGCCACTTCCCGCCCAAAGTAAGGACCAATCAAAAGAGATTTTGTAGCTTTAGCTAAAAAATGACCAATCGCAATTGGGGTTCCAGCCTAAGGCCCGCCGCCTGGAGCAGTCAGAGCCAATTGAAGTTTTACAGGCGCATGTCAATCAGGACTCTGTGCTCAGCCTGGAGGGCGGGGCATTGGGCGCGTGGAGTTGGACGGAGTGGAGGTGGCAGCGCAGTGAGTCTAGGAGGTGACCAACATGGTACGGCGGGCTACATAGTGGGGGATTAGGCCCAGGGGGCAGCAGGGCAGGAGGGTGTCATCCCTGACCCGGTATCGCTGGGACCCGGGCATATTCCGGGGTTGTGTCCAGAGCAGTGGGTCAAAAGTGACCACCGGACACACTCCACAAGTGCAGTCATCCTCTGCTTTCATACTTACTTTCCAAAGCAACGTCGTGGTGACTTTGAACTTGCTCCTATTTGCCTTTGTGATGCTGTGTGTGAGATTCTGAGGGCATTTACGCAAAGAGGCAGTATTTACAAGGTCTTGAACTAAGAATGATAGAAAATGGTATATCCTGAAAATCTGGCTTGTTTCATTAGGTAGGATTTTTAATTTTTGGTTGTTTATACTCATAATTTCTTAAAAACAAAACCAAACAAACAGGAATAGGTATGCTTATACTTTTCCCTTAATTGCACCAAAGGCAGCACATAGTATATGCTCTTGCTCCTTGTTTTTTTGTTGTGCAAAAAAATCCAGCTACCTCCTTACCAACAAACAAAGAACTGCATTGCTGTTCACTGCTGCATAGTATTCCAGCGAGTAGCTGTAGGTTATTCGGCCTGTTTTGTATCGCTGGATACTTGGATGTTTTCTGGTGTTTTACACATGAAAAGTACAGTAACGTCTGTGTACCAGCCATTTCCTACCAGTGTAGGTGTGTATGTGATGCCAGAAATGGATGGGTGTGATTTTGTAGATATTATCAGATTCCTTATCATCGGCCCAGTAATATATGAGAATTACTGTTTTTCCACAGCATTTATTTTGCTCATTTTTATGTCCTCAGTGCATAGGTATGTCCTAGGTATTGTTGAATTAAGACATGGATAGTTTAAAGATCGATGGAAACCAACCAATGCCTCTGTCACTTTGCACTTCCAAAACAAGTGGCACCCAAGAGACAGCCGTATGTGAAGACAGGCCAGAATGACCCTCTCACAGGACTTTATGTGACCTGGCTCAAGTGTCACTTGTTCTCAGTTAATGGAGGCTGAGGGCTACTTATTTCAGCCTCAGTTTCCTGCCCTAATTTCTGCGGCAGCTTCCAAACTTAGTCAAAAGTGCACCTACTTAATAACTCACACTAACCTCAGCTTTCTCCCTTTGTAAAAGTTAGTGTTGAAACTTGTCATTGGTCATTGTATGGCATAAAATCAAACTCAAAAAATTTTTTTTAAGGTTCAATTATTTCAAGTGTAAAGGAAAGGTAACTTTTATTACATGACAGGTAAAAGAAGCTCCAGGATTAGAAAAAAATGTGTGCTTTTCATCATTTTTAGGAGTTGTTATTTTTAGCAAAGACTTTGTCTGAACAAGAAGAAATACCATGATTAATACTTTCAGAAGAACTATTCAGCCATCGCTTGTTGGTATGATAGTGTCTTCTCAAGTTGAAATGCCAAAACATGATTTAAAAGTTCATAGTACTGCCGTGGCTGGTGCAGCTCAGTGGATTGAGCGTGGGCTGCAAACCAAAGGGTCGCAGGTTTGATTCCCAGTCACATGCCTAGGTTGCAGTCCAAGTCCCCAGTGGAGGCCATGTGAGAGACAACCACACATTGATGTTTCTCTCTCTTTCTCCCTCTCTTCCCCTCTCTAAAAATATATAAAATCTTAAAAAAATAAACAAACAAATAAATACAAGTTTATAGTACTTAAGCCAGCCCTGCAAGTTCCCAGGTAAGTGCCCAATACACGTGTACCTTTTGAAAAATCTTGTATGCTGTATTTTTACTGTACTGTACCTTGTCTGTATTTAAATACACCATTACTTACCACTGTGTTATAATTACCTACACTGTTTAGTATAGAAACATGCTATACAGTCTTGTACCTAGGAGCAACAAGCTATAGCAATAGTCTCGGTGTGTAATAGGTTATAACATCTAGGTTTGAGTAAGTGCACTCTGATGTTTACACAAGGACAAGAAATTGCCTAATGATGCATTTCTCAGAATGTATTCCTGTCATTAAGTGTTGCATCACTGTCTGAATTTATGGTATCAGGTTTTATTTTTGTGCCATGTAGTGTTGTTTGCCTTGAAGATGAGGGGGCTGGGGTCTCATGTTATGTTCTGTTTCCCAGCGCGAGTGCATTTCTATCCACGTGGGACAGGCCGGTGTCCAGATCGGCAATGCCTGCTGGGAACTGTACTGCCTTGAACATGGAATTCAGCCTGACGGGCAAATGCCAAGTGACAAAACCATTGGTGGTGGGGACGACTCATTCAACACGTTCTTCAGCGAGACTGGGGCTGGCAAGCATGTGCCCAGGGCAGTGTTTGTGGACCTGGAGCCCACCGTGGTGGGTAGGTGCTCGCGCAAGGAGGGTGGCTTTCCAGGGAGGCTGGGAGAGCTTCGCCAAATCCCTGCGGGTGCTCCTCGGAATCCCTCTGCAGAAAGGATGGGCAGACACACGGGTATATCCGTGACCGTGGTGGGCGAGAAACTGAAAGTGAATACTTGGAATGGGGGCTTAGGCTTCTGATTTAGGAAAACCTAACATACAGGAAAAAAAGCTGGAGTTTCCCAGGAGGAAACTGGGACTGTGACCAATTCATCTGTGACTGCCAAGTCCGAGGCAGCTGTAGGCCCTGCCTGGGGTCTCTCTGTATCTCATGAATGCTGTGCACTGTCTCAGGCTGGTGCACATGAGTTTCGATGCATCTCAGACATAGAAAAGCGAGAACGTTTGTTGGCTTCCTCCAGGTTAGATGCCTGAAGTACAGTTTCCAAGGAGAGCTGCAAAGAGAGCACCTGTCAGGGGCCATCTAGGAGAGGACAGAATGTGACCCTGTGTGCCTCACAGGGGCCATGATATGACTGCCTGGCCAAAACCACACTGACCTGGTGATCTCCAGTGTGAAAGTTTTTAAAATTTTTTATTTATTGAGTTTTAGAGAGAAAGAGGAGGGAAGAGAGGCAGAGAAACATGGATTTGTTTCTTATGTCTTTTGGTGTGAAAGCAATATGCACATGTAGAATTGCCTGTGTGCAGGGCTGTGAGCTCTCTTCCTTCTTTGGGAACCACTCAAGCTGGTATCTGTGCCATGAGTGGAGTTTACCTCCCTAGAGCCACAGAGTGCAGATGCGCTCTGTGTATTACAGAGGGAGTCCCTCTGATACACTGATGCTGTGGAGATGTGAGGAACAGCATGTGCTTGGTAGAATTGAATGGTCCCCAAGTCTGTTTATGCTGGCGGGTTAACAACTGTCCTTAAGGAGCCACTGCACACGTGTCCTCTGTAGATGAAGTGCGCACGGGGACCTACAGGCAGCTCTTCCACCCAGAGCAGCTGATCACCGGGAAGGAAGATGCAGCCAACAATTACGCCCGAGGCCATTACACCATCGGCAAGGAGATTGTGGACCTGGTCCTGGACCGGATCCGGAAACTGGTAAGAAGAGCACTGGGAGGCCCTCCAGGGTCCCTTTGGCAGAACCCAGGCCAGAGTAGGGGAACCCCGTGGTCTTCCTGTCTGGTGTGGCTGCAGTGCATCATACATCTTTGTGTCTGCTCTGCCTCGGCCCTAAGTGTGATGCGTGTTTCCTGGGGACCACTGGGATCCGTTTGCTCTGGTGGAGGCCAAGGGAAGCGACCTAGGCTTGTCGGAGGTTGGCGGTGTGGCTCGGACAGGTGCCGCTCACGGTCTCTGCTTTCTCCCAGGCGGATCTGTGCACGGGGCTGCAGGGCTTCCTCATCTTCCACAGCTTCGGGGGCGGCACCGGCTCTGGCTTTGCATCTCTGCTGATGGAACGGCTCTCGGTGGACTACGGCAAGAAGTCCAAGCTGGAATTCGCCATTTACCCGGCCCCCCAGGTGTCCACGGCCGTGGTGGAGCCCTACAACTCCATCCTGACCACCCACACGACCCTGGAACATTCCGACTGTGCCTTCATGGTGGACAACGAAGCCATCTATGACATATGTCGGCGCAACCTGGACATCGAGCGGCCCACGTACACCAACCTCAATCGTCTGATTGGGCAGATCGTGTCCTCCATCACGGCCTCCCTGCGCTTCGACGGGGCCCTGAACGTGGACTTGACGGAATTCCAGACCAACCTGGTGCCGTACCCCCGCATCCACTTCCCCCTGGCCACCTACGCCCCGGTCATCTCGGCCGAGAAGGCCTACCACGAGCAGCTGTCTGTGGCCGAGATCACCAACGCCTGCTTCGAGCCAGCCAACCAGATGGTCAAGTGCGACCCTCGCCACGGCAAGTACATGGCCTGCTGCATGTTGTACCGTGGGGACGTGGTCCCGAAGGATGTCAACGCGGCCATCGCCACCATCAAGACCAAGCGCACCATCCAGTTTGTGGATTGGTGCCCAACAGGGTTCAAGGTAGGACCGAGTGGTAAATAACGAGTGCTTTTGCCTTTCAGCACAGCACAGCCAGGGGTCGAATGCTGCCCTTGTGGGGAATCCCGTTCCCTGGCAGTTAGGCCCTGGTCATCAGTCAGTGAACCAGAGTGATCACGTATCCCATGGTGTCTTTCTTTTCTTAATCCTCACCCATGGATGTGGTGTTTTGAAATTGATTTGAGAAGGTGAGAGGAACATCAGCAGTTCACCTCCCTTACACACCCTCACTGAGGATCGAATCTGCAGACTAGCAATGTGCCCTGACCCGGAACTGAACCTGCAAACTTCAGCCAACTGAGCCACCTGGCCAGGGCGTCACTGGTGTCCTTTGAACTTCCTGAATCATCACATTTTGTATCTGTGGTGAGAGAAATTTTTTTTAACAGAAAAGGGAAATTTCTGCAATCTCTCTGTTCCCGTTTGGGGGTGGAGTTAGTGTGGGAAATCTTGTTTAGCCTTAAAAAATAAGACATATTTTTCTTTCTTTTTTTTTAAATCAAAGTCCTTTTTTAAAAAGTATTTTACTTTATTTTATTTATCTTTAGGGGGGAAGGGAAGGAGAGAGGGAGAGAAATATCAATGTGTGGTTGCCTCTCGTGGGTCCCCTGCTGGGAACTGGCCTGCAGGGAACCGGCCTGCAACCCAGGCATTTGCCCTGACTGGGAATTGAGCCACTATCCTCTGGTTCACAGGCCCACACTCAATCCACTGAGCTATAGTAGCCAGGGCTATGTAGCTGTTATAAGACTTTTTTTTTAAAGTAATAGAAATTTTCTGGGCATTTTTGGTAGTTTGTGTGGATAATCGAAATTGGGACATTAGTATTGGTGCCACTAAATCCCACTTAATTCCATACGCATATAGAAATTAAACCCAATTTAAGTGTCCTATGAAGTGTTTGATTTAAATAAATATCATGAACCTTTTTATGGAAAAAAAATGATGACCTCCCCCTCTCTCCCTGTAAGCTGCAAAATTCTGGCCTGAGTTTGCCTCTGGCCTCCATCTCGCGCCAGCCTTCCATTGGGAACAGAGAAGCAGCCTTGCCCTCGCCTTGCAGCTTCGCGCTGTCCTTGACTCCTGAACCCTGCCTCTTCTTTCCCTCTGGGCACCTTTGCTTCCCTGATCCTTGCTTTTGATGCCATCTTCTCTGGCTCAGACCCTCACTGCTTCTGGTGGGCCTGCTGTGCTGGCTTCTCATCCTCTAGTTCAGGGGTCAGCGTGGTGGACCAGCGCCTGATTATGTAAAGCTTAACGTGAACATAGCCTCCACCATATAGTGGCCTATTGTTGTGGCTGCTTTTGTGCTCCAAACACATAACTGAGTGGCTGTAACAGACTGGCCCATCCAGCAGAGCTTGTGTGCTGTCTCACCCTTTATGGACAAGTTCGCTGACCCTGACCCTAGCTAACCCTGTCTCATTCTGCTGCCCAAAGCTCTGGTCCTGTCTCCTCTGGTTCTGAAGCCTAGAATGTCAGTCCCTCCCTCCCACTTAGCACACACACAGACCACCTGCTTTGCCATTGTAGCAGTGGCCCTAGGTCTTCTGGCCATGTGCCTTTCAGTCTGCTGTGCACACACTGATGGTTTGGTGGGAAGGCTGGGGTAGGTTCTCCCGTGAAGCACCATCACAGTTGTGTGCTGGGTGAAAGGGCTTCTGCTATGGAGACCGACTCCCTTCTTGTTGAAGCCTATGGAGAGAGTAGCCTATGAAGAATCCAGGGCAGTGCCCTCCCTCAGAAGTAAGACAGTTCTATCACCAGGTGCCTATCATATGCCACAGTTGCTGGGACACAGCTGTTCAGGTAGCTTGGGACTGAGCCAGAGTGGCCGGCTCTAGCCACTTCCTTGTCTGGAAACCAGCACCCTGTCTTCCCAGCACCTTGCCTGGTGCAGAGAAGGGCTCAGAGACTGCGGGTGAATCAAGCCTCTGCCAGGTCACCAGAGGGCAGGGCACCCATGTTGTACATTTCTGGGAAAGCAGCTACCATTTCTGGGTTTGACAGAGGCTTCACAGTGCTTTATTCCCCTTCTCTGGCAGGTGGGCATCAACTACCAGCCCCCCACCGTTGTTCCCGGGGGAGACCTGGCCAAAGTGCAGAGAGCTGTGTGCATGCTGAGCAACACCACCGCCATCGCCGAGGCCTGGGCCCGCCTGGACCATAAGTTCGACCTCATGTATGCCAAGCGAGCCTTTGTGCACTGGTACGTGGGGGAGGGCATGGAGGAAGGGGAGTTCTCCGAGGCCCGGGAGGACCTGGCAGCTCTGGAGAAAGATTATGAAGAGGTGGGCGTGGATTCCGTGGAAGCAGAGGCTGAAGAAGGGGAAGAATACTGAGTGGGAGAGGAGGGTTGGTGGGGAGATACGTTCAGGCCCTCTTCCACCCTTTCCTGCCTCCCCTCAGCTCACCTGGTTTCAAGTTGTTTGCCATTAAAGTTTCTGTATCACACCTGTCTACTGCCATACCTGGCTGGGACACACTCGTCTGCCCACGGGGGTGGTAGGACCCCAAAGCTGGCCGGGCCTGCATGGAAGGCTGGTCTGGGCTACGTGGTGTTGTGCTTTGGATGGGTGCAGCACTGACCACACCTGTAAGGAGCTACTGCTTACAGGACAGACCCAGGGGAAACAGTATTTCTGATCCAAGTTTTTAAAGCATAAAGATTTACTAAATTCTAGGAAAATTGAGTTAGTTTTTTCAACTGAATCTGCCATTTTTAAGGCTTTTCCACTGGTGGGACATGTGGACTAAAGTGTAAAAGCTTAGGAGTGGAGTTTTAAAATCTGAGATCCATAGACGGGGGGGGGGGGGATCTACAGAACCCCTAAAAGCCTGGGTCACATGTGTCAGGACATTGGCAGGAGAGGGGTTTATCGGAGTCCCCAGTGGCGCGCCTGGCCCACAGGTTAGACACCCTGCACAGTTCATCTGTGTCCTGTGCTGACTTGACAGTGTCCCCGCTCCGTGCTGAAACCCCTGCCCCCACGGCCCCTGAGCACCTGGGAATGGTCTCAACAAGTCACTCTTTCACGTCAAGCAAAACATGTTGAAATCTTTTAATAAAAGACCTAGTAATACGGATACATTCTCCCAAACCCAAAAATGAGCTCCAGGAGGGTGACGTCACTGGTTTAAGTCACTGGGTCAGTTCAGCTGCAATATAATCAGGATCAGCACACAGAACTAATTCTAAATATCTGTGCCTTAAAATATTCAAAAGATGGTAGAAAACATCTTGAGTAGACCCTCAGTTTTTCAAAAAGGTTTATTACCAAGTGGAGAAAATAATACATAACCTTGGCCAGGTTGGTGGAGCCCACAGCAGGTGGGCATGACCAGTGTCTGCTTGGCTCAGGTGCTGCGGGTGGGGCTCTTCCCTGGCCCGCCCCCCTTGGGCAGCCTGGTAGCACTGGGCTGTCGGGGCATCCTCTGGCTGGATCCTTCCCGGCTGCTTCGTTCTGCCAGGGCTGGGCCTCCACCAAGAGCAGTGCTGCCTTTGTTTCTCCCTGAGCAGACACAGAACGATCGTTAGGAACCGGGGCAAACCCCACAGTCACAGTACCTGTCTGTACTTGTGTTCCTTGAGCAACACTGACATTGAGTGTGTTTCTGGGGTCACAGTCCTCTCAGCCAGGGACCCTCTATCAGCCCAGGGTTCTGAGTAGTCCTTGGCAGAGCGCAGGTAGCCTCGAGGGTGTCCTAGGACAGAGGTCATGCACGAAAGGAGGGGGAAGGCGTTGACGGTCAATTTCAGGGAAGCTCAGCATGCTGACTCTGACTCCTGCCCAGGGAGGCGTGCGTGGTTACAGCTACAACTGCGAGTAGCACGGGAGGGCTCGCCATCAGCAGGGCCGCCAGCTCACTGCCTCCCGGGTACTCTCCTCCTCCCTGAATGGTCCATGTCTAGGCAGATCAGGCTGGTAACAAAGAAGCACCTGAGTCAACTGGATCTTCTGTAGCATCTGGGTCAGGGGCCCCAATCCTGGGTCCCTGGGCATCCCACCAACTCTCAACAGGGGGTGCTTGCTGAAGGACTCAGAAGTACAGCTCAGGCACAGCTCACCCCTGGCACGTGGCAGGGTGGGTCTCAGAGGTGGGCCTGACTCTGAAGCCAGCTTTCTTCAGCCTGCCACATGAGTTTCCCCACCCCCTCGGTGTAATGACGAGGGTCCTTCTGGAATCTCAAGGATGAGGGAAAAGTAGAAAAGGGCAAATAATGTTTCTCCATAAATGTGACAAGGCCCTGACGTCTGGAAATAAGACACCAAAGTGGCTTTGAGCCATAGAGGACATTAAGAAAGCCATCTTAACAATGCAAGTAGACCATTTAGTGGGCTCTGCGATTCATGAAACCCTCAGGAAATCCATGCTCTTGGGGTTACTGGGGAGATACGTTCAGGCCTCTTCAGGGTGACGGAGGGTGGAGAATGGTCTGTGGGGTCTGCAAGGGAAAGACCCACCGTGTTCAGCTGGGCTCGGGCTCAGCCACACCCTCCCTGGCGGACCCAGCACAGGACTTTTTGGAGCAGGTCAAGTGGAATGGAGGGTGAAGCTGAGCCCAGGATGACCACGGGCTGGGGAGGGACCCGGATGCGCCCGGTTCCTGAGGGCACAGCGACTGACATCACTGGACAGTAAAAGCGGTGGTCTGACACACTGTCTTCAGAAGTCAGTGTTCCTCTACCCCTGTGTTCCCCTGCAGCCTGTGTGCACTCAGGGTTTTGTGACCCCCTAATGAAGTAAAACTCCCAAAGCATACCAGCCTGTCATCCCCCGGTGACTTGGGGAGCCCCTGAAGCTGGGGAGATGGCCAGACACAGAGAAACCCTGTCTGCCATTCACCTTTGATGTGGTCCACATGAGTCCTACTCACTGTTCCCTGCAAGCTCTACAGGCAGAGCTGTTTTGAGAAAGATTTATAAGAAATCCCAGCAGGAGCGGCTGGTCCCCAAGAGGCCTTTCTCCTTTGTGGTGCAAGCGCCCCCTCGTGGCAATATGGGCCAGTGACACCACCAAGACAAAATACTAGTGACTGGCCTGAGCCTGCAGCTGAATGCATTTTATATGAGGAAGGAAAAGAACGGAGTGGGTGGGCAGGACGGGTGAGTGAGAAATGAGGAGACGGAAAGAGAGCTACAGGCTGCAGCCCAGATAGGCAGCGCAGGTCATCCAGCATCTTCAAGGCCACCGGCCTTTCCCGGAGAGCCACTGAAAGTTCTGCTGCCTTCTTTTTAGGGCTGGGCACACAGCAGGGGCTTATTCAGTGTTTCCAGAACACATACAGACAATAACAAGGACTGGCACGCCACACAGATGTGCACATGTAGTTTTAACCCTTAACTTAGCCCATGCTTTGTGGGAGGTGCTCTCCACGCATGCGCATGGTGCTGACGGTGTTCCGGGAACAGCGTTACTGCCACGTTCAGCAGCACTTGCTGTCCGACAGAGAGACGGTGCAAGCCACATACGGCATTTTAAACTTCCTAGCAGCAACATTAAAAAGTAGAAAAAGAAAAGCCTCCAGGAAATTAATTTACGTAATATATTTTAATTAAAAAGCCGTTTTCAAGATGTACTAAAAAATTAACTTGCGAAGAGTCACGTCCCCTTTCCGGACCCTTTCTTTGACATCTGGGCCAGTGGTGCAGACTCCCACTCACGGCGCCTCTCCGGCACACCCCGGGACCTTGGCTCTCATGTCGGACAGCGCAGCTCCGGCCTCTGCACGTGAGACTTTACCTAACACGTTCTGGAGGGACATCTTTTTAAAACTTACAGTTTCCCTAAACTTCAAGAGACAGCACTCAACTGAATTAAGTTTTTCCTCAGTGACTCCACATCCTCTCCATGACAAGAATTACTCTTCCGTGCTTTGGGGTCTTGTTTGCCCCTTTTCTGCAGGAACAGACAGAAAGGAGCCAGCCTGCCAGTGAAGTCCCTGCAGGCCACCTCGATGGCCAGGGGGTAGAAAGCCAGGCAGTCAAGACCATGGCCTGGAGCAACTCTACACCCCAAGTCTGTGAGAAGCCTAAAGCCAATCAACCGCAACAGCCCCAAAGCCCCAGCATCATCCTAGGCCACCACGGTCCCCACGGCTGGATCGCTCTGACTACCCATCTTCCCCACCCCAACTCTGCTGTTAACGGGGTGGCTGGAAGGTCTGTGTGAACAGACACTGTGATTCGTGGCCTCAGAGGTGTCTTGTCCAGTGGCCTCTGCCTCTCGGCTGTAGCACACTCCTGGCATGGCCCCTTAACTGCCCTGCTCCCCTCCAACTTCTCCCCATCATTGACCTCCCCGGCTGCCTTCTATGCACACCATGCACCTCCCCGGGGCCCCCCGTGTCCTCCTAGCCTGGCTCCTGGCCACCAGCCTAGTAGAATCCAATGCCTGAGCATCTGGGAGAAAACGACCTCTGTTTTACACTCCTGTCCCCACCTGCCTCTGATCTTCCCAACCCCTCTAGGCCAGTGCTCCCAGCAACATGCCCACGGCGCACCTCCTGATTCTCCATCCTCCTCTCGCCCCCACCCTCCAGCACAGGCCCAGCTCCCACCATGGCCTGAACCATACCATGCATCTCGGCCCACCTTTCCTCTCTCAGCCCCTCCCCACCTCCCAGGGCTGTGCAGCTGGCAGAAGACCCTCTCCCCTACCCCCCCCCCCCATGCCCCACAGCCTGCTTAACCCCTGCAGCTTCAGTTCCTGTCTGTCACTCACCTAGCCATCTTCCTCACCGGACTGACAGCGTGTCTATCTTGTAGCCCCACTGTACCCTCAGCACTGAAAGGTGGCCTGGCACCCAGAGTCACTAAGCAAGCGGTGCTACCCTCTCTGTTCTCAGTTCCTCCCTCTGGGAACTCACCCATCAGTTCCTCAGCTCAGCCTGTAGTCCGCCCACCCCTACTCTGAACTGCCTCAGCCCTACCCTACACCTCCCTGGCCCGAGTTCCAGATGACACCTGGAATGGTGAGGCGGGGAATGTGAGGCGGGGTGTGTAGGAGGGCAAAGCCAGAGCACCTGTGGGATCTCAGGCGCCCAACCTCATCACACCTGGCATTGCCTACAATGTACCCACAGCTCTGGAACCAGGCAGGAAAGGGGAATCATGGCTTTACCCTCCAGGCTGCCCATCTAGGTATGTAACAGCATCTAAGAAACTGAGGTGTTTCTCACACCTAAGGCTTTGCTGTCCACAGCATGCCGCATGCCTCTTCCCTCCCCTCTGCCTCTTGTCTTCCTCTGGGGCAGGGGCACCTCTATAGAGCGCAAGTCTCACCCAGCAAAGTTAGTCTCTGTGGGGTATAGGGTGTTGGTCCCATTCTAGAAGTACTGGGGTTGTCTCTCAATAAACTATGAAATCATGTTCTCACTCTCTAAGCTGCATGGCAGAGATGGCCAGCAGGACCCTGCCTTTGCAACTAAAAGCTACCCTGGCTTTGTTGGGGTATAGCAGTTTCCATGGAAACAAGAGAGCACACCATCCCCCAGAGATAAACCAATAAATGCAACCTGCAAAAGGAGAGAACAGGCAGCAAGAGAACCGGAGGGAACCGGGGGGCCCTGGAGAGAGAGGCGAGTGCGTGGCAGCTGGGCTGTGATGCAGAACCGGAGAGGCCGCAGGCCGTGGGGCCGAGGAAAAGGAGGGCCTTGCAGAGGGGCTACAGTTCTTGGCAGAGAGAAAGGAGGCCTCTGCAGGTCAGAGAGAGACACAAAGAGAGGAGATGGAGCATGGGTCAGTGAGGAGGCTCAGGGCCTCTCAGGAGAGAGGGAGCGAGTGCCTAGGACCCTGGCACTCCCACCCAAAGGGGCCAACCTGCCCTCTCCTCCAATGTCAGCTGCTTCTCAGAATGTAAGTGCCCGAGTGTTCTGGCCAAGAAGGTTCTGCTGCATCTCAGAGGCTTTCTGACAGCCCTCAGGAGTATAAGTGACATGGTGCTCCGTCATAACATACTCATCACCAGCACCTGTTCATCCCCTAGTCATGACCCTCGAGGGTGAGACGGCCCCTCAAGCCTGAGCCCAGTGCTTTGCCACTCAGGCTTCTGTCCCCTGACAGTCTAGGGCAGCAAGGACTGCCACACTGACACCTGGCTCAAAATCCAAGGCAACTCCTGGACAGGATCTGAAGCTGGGTGAGGTAGGTATAGGGTAGGGGGCTGTAGGAAGGCCTCTGCCTGCCCACTCTCGGAGCACTCCTGTGGACACTGCACACACCAAGAGAACAGGAACCAAGGCAGTCTCGTCCCTGTATTTGTGGTTTGAAGGCATGAGTGATGAGGTGAGAAGAGTCTGGGACAGCAAAAGTCCCAGATGAGCCCTAGCCTGCTTGGGCCACGCTGGGGTACCCATTCCACCTCCCTGATCTAGACGTACTCTCTCAAGGCTAGCACTGAAACCAAAGCTGGGGACTGAGCCAAAGGGGAGAGCCCTGGGAGAAGTCCTACAGAAAGGCCTGGCCGCTGAGGCTCTAGCCCCCAGTGCCCTGCTGTGCTGGGCACTGCCCACCTCCTGGCCCCGAAAACCCCACCTCCTGGGCCACAGGGACAAGAGAGCACCCCAACTCTGACCTCGGGTCTCCGGCATGCTCGATGTGGGCAGGGACATAGCCGCAGAGTCCTGGGGCTCGCTCGCCAGCCTCTGCCCAGCACACATAGACTTGAGCATCTGGAAGACTGCGAGGGGCGCGACGTTCAGCTTCAGCAGGTCCACCAGGATCCTGGTGAGAAAAGACGCGGTACGGAATGAACCCTCCTGCTCATCGGTCCATGAGCTCTGGCGAGAACGGGCCAGACATAGCTACCAGACTGGGGTTAGGCCCAGGAGGGCCACCTCTCTCAAGGCCCAGCTGTACTCTGGGTCCCCAGGGGGTTCCGACAAGGACAGGGGACTCATATATAGATCAGTGGCCCGGCGGGGAGCTGAGAGCAGGAATGTCTGGGGGTCCGAGAAGCGCGCAGCCCCCACCCGCTCACTTGAACACGTCGGGGTCCATGGCACCACCAGCCGCCTGCGCCAGCTCGTACAGCTCCATCTCCTCTGCGCTCAGCACCTTCTTCCGCCGCAGCGCGAGCTTCTGCAGGGCCGCCTCCAGCCCCGGGGGTGGCCCGGGCCCGGAGCCCGGAGCCGCCATCTGCTCCGCCTGCGGGAAGATCAGCGTCCCGACCTCACCCCGCCTCGCTAGGCGCTCCTACAGAGCCCTGGGCTGGCCTCGCTGGCAGTTCCTCTCCCAGCAGCGCCACCGCCTGGCCTCCGGGACAACCCAACCCCGGAGGGCGGAGATTGGTCAGTCTCCCCTCCGTCATTCGATCCACATTTACATGTTGGGCAGTGTGTTAGGTGTGGGGGGATACGGTGGCGGGCCATAGAGATCTGGTCTTTGGTGATGAGGACTTCCCTGCTAGGCTGCACTGGTCGTTGTCGCTTAAGTAGAAATGTCCAGTGCAGTGCCTGTAATACAGTGGGCGCTCAATAAATGCTTGTGGGACGAAGGGCAGTCAATGCACAAAGTGTAATTGTTCTGCGCCAGGATACCCCCTTGGCGGCGCGTAATTAACAACCTCTCCTGATGCGCACGCGCGCTGTTTGCCGCGGGTTCGGTGCACAAGCTCAGGAGTGGGGCGCCGGGGCATCCCACCCACCGCGCACTCATACAGAAGTGAACCCATCAACCTGGGCCGCCTTCGCTTTCCGCACGCGCCTTTTGAGATAGCCGCACGAAGAGGTAGCGGCGCGTTTCCCGCCGGGCCGGGGGGCGTGACGCCTCGCGCAGCTTGATGACGACACTCCGGCGCCGGATAGCAGAATAGTAGCCGCAGTCCGTGAGATGAACGAAACTATGGACTCCACAGGTGAGTGTGGCCGAAGCCGCGCGCAGGATGGTTCCGCGTCCCGGCAGCCTCCCCGAACTTCCGCCCAGGGTGTCTCGGTTTCTCCGCGAGCCCCGGGTTCGGGCCGGCGGGGGAGCCGGGGGTCCGGGCTACGCCCTCCTGCCACCTTCCCGCGCGGCTCACCATGCCGTCCCGGTGGGTGCTCGGTTAACGTTCGTTGAACGAGTTGGGAGGAAGGAGAACTTCGAGTTAAAGTTGAGCCTTGGACTCAACAAACCCAAAGAGTTAGGTGTGAGACCCAGCCCGAGCCTTCCTCCCTGGGAGGCTCGATTTTTTTCACGCCTCAGTTTCCTCACCTGTGGTAGCTTACAGCAACTAAGGGGAGTCCTTGGCAGTAGCGTGATGTGCTTGGCATGATCGGCAACGAGGGCTTCCGCCCCCGGAAGAAACCCCAGACCGAAGCAGCTCTTGCAGAAAGTGGTCGTTGAAGTGGTGGGATGAAGCAAACGCTGGGTGCACAGTGCAGAAGGAGGTCATGGGGGGCGCCTGCCCGTGGCAGGGCCAGAGAATAGACACTGCCATTCTTGGAAAGACCCCTAGTTTGGCGCCTCTGGCCTCATTCCTTCAGGCCTTGCCCCTGCAAGCTTCCTCTGAGCAAGGAGGTGCTTTCACCTCATCTCTAAAACTCTGCCTTCTGCAAACAGTTCAGGATTTTATGCCACTTTAGTCATTTTGGTCATTTGGTCATTGGATTTAGGACTGAGGTGTTTTATTTGTTTTAAGCCTTCCTTACAACGGAAACTGAGAGCTAGTTTAAGAGTTGAGCCCTGGCTGGTGTGGCTCAGTGGATTGCGTGCTGGCCTGAGAACCCAGGGGTTGTAGGATCGATTCCCAGTCAGGACACACGGGGCGGGGGGGGGGGGGGGGGCGTTGGAGAGCCAACCAGCTGATGTATCTTTCACAGGTCAGTGTTTTTCTCCCTTTTTTTCTCCCTCCCTTCCCATCTCTCTAAAGGTAGATAAACAAACAAACAAACAAAAAAGAGTTGAGAAAAACCTTGGAAGTCTTTGTATTGCCAAGTGGCAGGCACATCTGTCGAGCCCTCAACTGCCTACACAGCCCCCTTGCACCCAGCCACTCTCTCTCTGTCCACATTAAGCTGTGATGTGCCCCCTCAGTGCCCTTACTCAGGCTGTGGGCAGAGCTGTGCCAGGAAAGCCATCAATTAGCCCATCATTTCAATGAGGCAGGCTTCCTCTCTCTACAGATCACGTCTGGATTATTTCATTTCCTCACCTGAGTGGGCAGAGAAGTAGGAACCTGGAGAGTTACTCCTGACTCTGATGGACAGACCAAAGGCTCCCTTGGCAGGCCTTGTTCACCCCTCCCTTTGTTCTCACAGAGCACGGGCAATACAGAGGATGTTCACCCACCTGTCTCTGTGAGAGATGAGTGGGGAGGTCTCTGTATTTGAATGTTGGTTCCGCCGTTTACCAGCTTGGTGAGGGCAAGGGACTTGCCTTCACTCTACCTCCGTTTCCTCATCTGTACTGACCTTGTAGGGTGTTTTTTTTTTTAAGAAAATTTTCCATTTATTTTTTTAGAATAAAGATTCAGTGCACAAATACAGCCCAAAGTCAAAAGAAAAATAGCTTTGCCCTGTCATTTCCCTAAGAAAGCACTGCAGTTATTCAGAATAGGCCTAAAGAAAAAAATAAGAGGAATCCTTTGAGTTCTAGGTTTCACAAAAGGACCACATATTATGCTATGTATGCATTGATCTGATGTGCAAGTGTGCAATAAATATATACACGTACATTCCTATCTGCTTTATGTCGTTCTAGGGTATTCACAGATCAAGCTGAGAATCAGAGGCGAAAGGTCGTAACAGAATGAAAGGAAAGGATATGTGATTTTTAGACGAGTAGAATAATAATTAGTTAGTTAATTAATTCAATTTTGGAGCAAACTCAAAACGTTGTTTTGAAATAAGTGGTACCTCTAAGAAGTGTTTACTGCAATACTTGTTAAATGTTACTAGTCAGTGTTTTGATAATAGCACTGACCTGGAATATATGGTGATGGTAACATAGCTCTCACGGTCTTAGAATTCCTCTAAATGGCCAGCTATAGCTACCAGGTATCTTTATAAGCATTTTCAGAGTTGTGTAGCTCAGCCTTTTAAAAGATAACTAGCTCATAATCTACTTCTTACGTGGCTACTTGAGTTGCTCGTTGACCTTGTAGGGTTTTTGTGTGGATGTACTTTCTCTTTTTTTGCTTAATGAATTTAGCAGCTTAAAACCTCACCCCTTTATTATCTCACAATTTTATAAGCAGGCTTGGAATTTTTGGCTTAGGGTCTCACAAGGCCGAAATCACGGTACTGGCTAGCTTCGCTCTTACCTGGATGCCATGGAGAAGTAGCTCCTTCCGGACATGTTCAGGTTGCTGTCAGAGTCGAATTTTTCAGAGGCACAGAACTAAGGGCCCTGTCTCCGTGCTGGCTGTCAGCCAGAACTGCTCTGTGTTTTATTTTGTGGTCCACTAACCTGGCCCTTTAATTGTGTCTGCAAAGTCCTTCACAGCAATACCTAGATGAACGTTTGATTGAATAACCAGGGACGGGCACTCAAAGGGCTACCTTAGAATTCTGCCGAACACTGAGAATTAAGTGAGAAATATATGAAGAACCCTTAGAACCAGGCCTGACAAGAAGCAAGCGCTATACCGGCGTGACCCCGAGTTCCCAAGGGTTCACTACCACGGAGATGGCTCTGAAGCTGGCTGCTGTGGACCTCGTGAGAACAGCGTGTCTGTGATGCGTGGGGCATGGCAGTGCAGCATGTGCTGAGTTATACACATGTTTTCCTGGGCATTGTGAAGCGAAGCAGTATTCTGTGGTTTGGCAGGTGTTGAGATTCCATCCTTGCTTTTCCACAGTGGTTTCCTAAGACGGCCACTTTCAACTCTCCACGGGAGGCTGCTATGGCGTTCCCTTACCTACAACAGCCCAGCTTCCTGCTGGTAAGTATCAAATGCCCACGTGAGTGCCCTCGCGAGTGCCTGTGTAATGGTAGTTCCAAGCTGGGGGACTTGAGAGTTCTTTCCACTGCCTTAACTCCACAGTGGTTGTTTGGGGAACGTGTGATGGAAATAGCACTGCCCTCGGGGTTGAAATCCTTAGGCTGCCTCTGCCGGACCTTGGGTTTACTCACCCGCTGAGCCGTGGTTTTCTCATCTACAAGGCAGGTTGATACAAACGTCATTTCCCCCTGCTTCTTGGGGTATGAGGAGGAGCAGCGACTCAAAAGGATGTACATTTGAATTTTTAAATATTGTAAATTCTTACACAAAAGAGTAATAATTATAACTGTCATCAGTGAAAGGTCGTGGGACACTGCTGTGTTGAGGGCGACTAGTCCTGCACTGTAAATACTAAACATGACGCAGAGGAGTGGAGCGTGAGGCACATGTCAGTGGTGAAAGTTTGAGATTTCAGTTCCCAGGAGATACTTCACAGAAACGTTTCTTTGGAAGGACATTCTTCCTCGGCGAACTCACCAGGGTTGACAGAGCCAACCATGGCCTCTACAGCCCAGGTCTTCAGCTCTGACTGAGGCCCCCAAGGACTCCGCCCTCGTCTGGAGGTGGACAAGGCCTTAGACAACCCTGGGCAAAGCTCTCTTCCTTGAAACTGGGCCACTTCCTCTTGATCTTCATTCGTGCAGCGGCTTCTTTTCTTGGCGTAGTCGGGATACGCACACCCCATGACCACGAGTAGATTCCTTCGTCTTGTCCCTAAATGCCGTCTGCTCTTTCTGCCGCCTTCGTGGTTAGTGCCAGCACCTGGCCGGAGCCGTCTGCGGTTTTGAACCTGCCTGTTTCTTCAGGTTGTGAAGGTTCAGTAGGTTCATAAGGATAGTTTGGTTAAGGGCTTAAATGGCAACAAAGGACACCCTCATTTCACTGGACGTTCTTACGATCACAGTGGTGTGAACCGTGGGTGGGCAGTCACGCAGGGAATTTCCAGTTCGTGCACACACACCTGGTGGATGCTGTGGTCTGTGAGGGGAACCCTGCTCCCAGGGGCCTCTCCTGGGTTCGGGGCTGACCCCCTGCTTACGGGTCAGCCAGCAGTCGGTTTTATTTTGACAAAGTGAAGCTCTTTGAGGTAACTGGCAATGCCTAACAGGTGTTGAGAAGTAGGCCTGACAGTTGCTGGTCTGGAGAGCATGGGACCTCTCTTCTAGTAGCATCCTTTAGGTCACTGACACGTGCATGACCTGACGTTTGAGCTTTTAGGGAATCAGGCCAGTGCTGCGTATCTCACTCCAGCCTGCCATTGGGCTTCTGTTTCGGCTCCAGCCAGAATATCATCAAGAGCTGCCGAACGAACATGCTAATGATTTTTTTGTTGTT